ATTAAAGAAGAAATCTCTAATGAAAAAAAAAAAAAATGGCCAGGAGACATTTGAAAAATGCCAATGTCACTAATCATCAGAGAGATGCAAATTAAAACGACTATAAGGTATCACCTCGCACCTGTCAGGATGGCTGTCATCAACAAATCCTCAAACAACAAGTGCTGGTGAGGGTGTGGAGAAAAGGGGACTCTAGTACACTGCTGGTGGGAATGCAGACTGGTGCAGCCACTATGGAAAACAATATGGTGTTTCCTCAAAAAATTAAAAATGGAACTGCCATTTGACCCAATGATTCCGCTTCTAAGAATATATCCTAAGAAGCCTAGAACATGAATCAGTAAGAATATAGGCACCCCTATGTTCATAGCAGCACTATTTACAATAACTAAGATCTGGAAACAGCCCAAGTGTCCATCAGTAAATGAGTAGACAGAAAAACTGTGGTACATTTACACAATGGAATACTGTGCAGCTGTAAAAAGGAAGGCTGTCTTACCCTTTAAGATATCATGAGGGACCTGGAGAGTATTAATTATACTGAGCAAAATAAACCAGTCAGAAAAAGACAAGTAGCACATGATCTCACTTATTTATGGTTTATCATGAACAAAATAAACTGTTGCTCAGAATAGATCCAGAGCCATGGAAGTAGGAAACAGACTGACAAACCTCAGAGCGGTTAGGTGGGGGTGGGGATACACCAAGGAACGTACACGCGTGCACAACCAGTGGACATAGACATACGTTTGGGGAAAGCAGGATGGGTGGAAGCAGGGAGGAGGGGTCACTGGGGGAAGAGGGGAGTTGGCGTCTAATACTTTCAACAATAAAACAATAGTAATAAATAAAAATGAAAAAGTCTGTTGACTGCAGCTTACTGTATAGATCTCCATGACAGGAAAGGCCTTGCCAGTGAGGTGGGAAGTCTGGACATTGTTCGGGCTAAAGCTGTCCTCCTAGATGGTGTTTGGGTGGACTACCTTTGCCTCTGGACACTTCAATGCTTCCGTACTAAATTGCCTCCCAAATTTCCATCCTTTTTTCTTTGTATATATTTAAAAAGTAACCCTTGGGTCTCTAGTGCTGTAGACCTTCAGCATATACATGCATGTTAGTGTGTGAGAGAGAGAGAGAATGAGAGAGAGAGTGTGTGTGTGTGTAAATGAAAAGAGGAAGGAAGGAAGTAGGTGGCATGCCAGGTGCACAGACTTTACTCGTCGCTACTGTCTCCTTATCTATTATACATACTGGGTTTCCGGATAACAAAGTTTCCCTTTTAAGGAAAGGGCTCCTTTAGCTTATCTATTTATTTTTTGAGCTATCAGTAGCAGTGTTTTTATTTTTAAATTTTATTTTTCAATTACAGTTTATAGTCAATGTTATTTTCTATTAGTTTCAGGTGTACAGCATAGTGGTTAGATAATCATGTACTTTACAGAGTGTTCCCCCAGAATGTCCAGGAGCCACCTGATGCCATATATAGCTATTACAATCCTATTGACCACATTCCCTATGATATACTTTATATCCCTATGACTGTTTTATGACTACCAATAGCTACTTCTTAATCCCTTCGCCTTTTTCACCCAGCCCCCAATGCCCCGCCCCTCTGGCAACCATCAGTCTGTTCTCTGTGTCTATGTGTCTGTTGCAGTTTTGTTTGTTCATTTTGTTCTTTAGAGTCTACATATAAGTGAAATCATATGGTATTTGTCTTTCTCTGACTTATTTCACTTAGCATGATCCATTCATGTTGTCACAAATGGTAAGATTTCATTTTTTATATAGCCAAGTAATATTCCATTGTCCTATATGTACCACAGCCTGTTGTTGTTAATCCCCACCCAAGGATATTTTTTTCATTGATTCTTTAGAGAGAATGGAAGGGAGAGAGAAACATAGATGTGAGAGAGACACATCGATTGGTTGCCTCCCACACAGGGTTGGGGATCAAACCTGCAACCCAGGTATGTGCCCTTGACTGGGAGTCAAACCTTCAACCCTTTGGTCTGCAGGCCAATGCCCTAACCGCTGAGCCAAACCAACCAGGGCTGTACCACAGCTTTTATATCCACTCATCTATTCATGAGCACTTGGGTTGCTTCCATATCTTGGCTATTATAAATAACACTGCCATAAACATAGGAGTACATATATTCTTTTGAATTAGTATTAGTATCTTGATATATACCTAGAAGTGGAATCACTGGGTCATAAGGCAGTTCCATTCTTAATTTTTTGAGGAACTTAACGTACTGCTTTTCATAGTGGCTGCACCAGTCTTCATTCCCACCAGCAGTGCCCGAGGGTCCCAGAAGAGGGCCCCTTTAAATGTATGAAAACTATTTGGTTATTATTACATTCATGACTTACTGGCTTAAAAGTTTTCTCTTTAAAATGATTGTATGCATCTATTTTAATTCATCATGAATCAATTCTGCTGTTTAATAGTATAATAATAAGCGTCTTATTTCCTCCATTTTCAACACCCCCTCCCCCCTGCCTAATTTACAAGGTAGTACAGGAATAGTCTCTAAAAATGACCAACAGCGAGTAAGGTGGTATTTGGGGTAGAAGCTACATAGACCCAAAGCCAGTGGTCTGGCATCAGAGTTTGCAGAGTCCACGTGCCCTGCTTTCTGGAGTGTGTTTAGCAGTGTGTTTAGAAGGCATCGGCACTATGTGCACTAAACGTTGAGAACCACCGCCTTCCACTCTGACTCTGCTAAAGCTTAGAATGAAAAAGCAACGGAAAAACAATATACGTTCACGTGGTTATTTTTATTGCTGTGCGTATCATTAGAAAAGTGTGGAATAAAACTAGAAAGTGGGCCCATACGCCACAGCTCGTCGCATTATGTTATAGCCACCTTCGACGGCGGTTGGCACTGCTTGCCAGTCACGGCGAGGGTCAGGAGTGTGGCCCCGTCTTCCCTCGGAGGCCCAGTAAATCTTCACCATTCATCTTCTGTGCTCTTTCGTCATCGGCTCTGGCATTTTACAGCAATTATTTTGAGCCTCTCTATATAGACATTTACTAGGTATTTGGGAAACCAGCTCAGTTTTCTCAGTTTTATACCAGGGGAAGAGAAGTGGGCAGAAGGACAGCAGTAGTAATTACAGTTAGCACAAAATTGTCCGTGTTGATTCTTTTCTCTTCTCAACCCCCAATTTAAGGGGGTGGGAGGTATCTGATGAGAAAAGTTTCCAGGAAGCAAGTAACATTTCAAGTTTCAATTTTTTTTTTTTAATCCTCACCCGAGGACATTTTTTTGATATTTTGTTCAGATAGTGTGGGAGGGGGAGAGAGAGAGAGAGAGAGAAACATCGACGTGAAAGGGACACATTGAGTGGTTGCCACCCACATGACCCAACCGGGGCCGGGGACAAACTGCAACCGAGGTACGTGCCCTCAGCGGGAACCGAACCCAGGTCTCTCCAGACCGCAGGCCGACGCTCTAACCGCTGAGCCAAACCGGCCAGGGCTCAAGTTTCAATTTCTTTAAAATCAAAAGCACCCAAAATGAACCAGAAAGAAAATCAAAGTTGAGTCCACCACACAGGGTTTCAATAATATCTCCCCAGAGCCAGATAATGAATAGATCAATTTTAGCATGAAAACTGGCCCGAAGTGCACCTCAGGAATTAGATTGCAGCCATCTGAGGCTCACATCAGTAACAGATTATAACCGCCAGCGCTACCTATAAATGAGCTCATAAATTCAACCGAGGTCCAGGGACACTTACTGGAAGACAGTGTGAAAATGATTATTTTATATTCCTAGCTGTATTTTTGGAAAGAACTGGCTTTCTGTAATGTTCCCTATTCTGTATGAATATTTGTTTCAATCAAACTTTTATGTTCATGTTTTCTACCATAACGTTGAGAATCATTTTCCTCCTGGTGGTTCCCCTCATTCTTGTAACTACCACCCAAACCATTTTGTTTTAGGTATACATTGTAAGACCCATGTTGACTACTGGAGGGTCCTAGGTTGTAATAATATTAATGTCACCTTAAAGAAGTTTAAAGAGTCCAGCCGGTGTGGCTCAGTGGTTGAGCGTCGACCCATGCACCAAGAGGTCACTGGTTCGATTCCCGGTCAGGGCACATGCCCAGGTTGTGGGCCCAATCCCAGTGGGGGGACATGCAGGAGGCGACCAGTCCATGTTCTCTCTCATCAATGTTTCTATCTGTCTCCCTCGTTCCTTCCTCTCTCTCTAAAATCAATAAAGAAAAGTAAAGAAAAGAAAGAAAGAGTCATGGTTCTGTCTCTCTCTCCCTCTCATTTCCTCTCTAAAAATCAATAAAGAAAAAAAAATTTTTTTTAAGTGTAAAGAGCCCTGGCTGGTTTGGCTCAGCAGTTAGAGCGTCAGCCTGCGGACTGATGAGTCGCAGGTTTGATTCCGGTCAAGGGCATGTACCTCAGTTGTGGTTCGTCCCCGGCCCTGGTTGGGATGTGCGGGAGGCAACCAGTCGATGTGTCCCTCTCACATCGGAATTTCTCTCTCTCCCACTCTATCTGGACAAAAATGGAAAAATATTCTTGGGTGAGGATTTAAAAAAAAAAAAAAAAATGGTTTAAAGAGTTTTTTAAACATAGTATAGTTTGGACACATCTTTCAGCATAATTTTCTGGATGGAATTGCTTTTCCAATTAGGCCTTGTGAGTTTCGTCTGCAGTCCAATAGTGCCTCCCAGGAGATAGTTTGGCAAGATTGCTTGGAGTTCTTTTTTTTTTTTTTGATATTTTGTTCAGATAGAGTGGGAGGGAGAGAGAAACATCGATGTGAAAGGGGCACATCGAGTGGTTGCCACCCACACGACCCAACTGGGGCTGGGGACAAACTGCAACCGAGGTACATGCCCCTAGCGGGAACCGAACCCGGGTCTCTCCAGACCGCAGGTCGACGCTCTAACCGCTGAGCCAAACCGGCCAGGGCTGCTTGGCAGTTCTTTTTCAGCCTATGTGAATTGCTCTTTCTGTGCTTCTCAGTTCAAATCCCGTGCTGAAGAATATGTGGCCCGAAGGCAAGCTGAGCATTACGGAGGTGACCAAGCGACCTCTGACTGCTGCCACCTTATTTAAGAATTCTATGATTGCTTTAGTAGACAACCTTGCATCAAAGGTAATTATTTTCTTTTCTAAAGATCCATGGTATATGTTATAGAGAATGTATGTATGATTTGCTTTTTAGGTAATTATAGTAAATCAAATTGAAGAATATATATTTAAAGTGAATGTTATAAAAGAATTTTTATTCCTGTGGGTTTTGTCTTTTTGTTTTGTTTTTAGGTAATTGTAGTAAATCAAATTGTTGTTAATGTGGCTGGGTGAAACGGTTGTTTGTGTCTGTGATAAAATTTTTTTTTAATTTGGGCTTTTTTAATCTTGTAGTTATATAAGTAAATTATAGCATATTCCTGAACTTCAGCCCCGTGCTGACGACAAGGGCTGGCTTTTTAAAAATCTTGAATTAAATTGTAACATACTATCTGTATATCGTATCTGAATACGGAATGACCAGATAGAGTTTTAAGAGGAAGTATGGTCCTTAAGTATTATCCTCAGGTTGTTTTAAATAGTTGAAATTAAAAGATGTATTATTGACAGTTATGTCTGCTTTCTATTACTCCTTTGAGATCAAATACTGTGTGATAACTCTGGTCTGTTTTTTCTTAAAGAACATATTTCTATTCCTAACTGCTGCTGCTGACAACTTTGATGAATTAGGCAGCATTCTGAGACTCATTATTTTTAGTTCCTTCATTTTTATCTTTCTCTTCTGGTGCTTTTGTTGTGTTTTCTTCTTCGTTATCATCTTTTTCTTTTTTTTTTTAAATTAACTTCCTCTGTCAGAGTTTAAATCTATACCATTTCTGGATGAATTGGGCACATGCCACAAGAACATGTCTGTTTAGTAGCTTTCTATTTCTTTTCATGAGAATTCTTTGGCTTCGAGGGGATAACCAATATGCACAGTTTATTGGTTTGTATAATAAAACCTCCAGAATGGGAGGGAGCCAGACTAGAATTCATGAGGACCCTCTTGTCTCAGCTTCTCTCTGCTTGTCCGCTCCAAGCCCCTCCTCCAGCCAGAGGAAGGGGAACCTCACGGGAAGGCGTGTGACCCAACAGCTAGAACTGTGTTAACACAGCATTTTATAAAATATAGATTTATAAAATGTACTGTTTATAAATACGTTGTTTATAAAAATGTATTTAGCTATAAAAGAATCACTTTTCCAAAGTTGGTAGTTAAATGTGCATTTTAAAAGGTGAAAATACTAGAACCATCTGTAATTGCGTTACCAAGAATTGCCTTCAGCTGCTAACAAAAGAGACGCCAAGTTAGTCCTTCAACTTGAGACACATTTATTCCTCTGTCCTGTAATGAAGTACAGAAGAAAGTATTGCAGGATTGTCTAGCAGCTCTAAGGTTGTGAAGGACCCAGGTTCCTTCTGTCTGTCTGCTTACAGACCTAGTGCTGGTCCAGGAGGGCACCCGAGCCGCCTCCCTTTGGAAGAGACTGCCGGGAAGTCACTGTACTGCAGCCGCATCTCATTTGCTATACCTGGTCACCAGGGGAGCCGAGAAGTGCATTTCTTAAAGTTTTTAAAATATGTTTTTATTGATTTTTAGAGACAGAGGAAGGAAGAGGGAGAGAGAGATAGAAACATCTATCGGCTGCCTCCTGCACGCCCCCTTCTGGGGATCGAGCCTGAAACCCAGGCATGTGCCCTGACCTGGAATTGAACCAGTGACCTCTTGGCGCATGGGACAGCACTCAGTCCACTGAGCCACTCAGCCCGGCTGCATTTTTATTCTAGTCAGCAGTGCACCCAGCTAGAAATAAGTATTCTGTTTCAAAGTAGAAAGCAGATTCTGGACATGAGGTAGCTGCCTAGCAGTCTTTGCTACGGCTTCCCAGTCTGGATGTTTTTGGAGGGTGGGGGGGATGAGGGAGAGAGCAGGCCTAAGCGAAAGAATGTAGACAATAGAAGGCAGGGAGATGGGTGGGGCAGAAACAAAGGGGAAATGTTGATTACATTTAGAAAATACAAAATAATGTGATAGAAATAAATCTAAATAAACTAAACAGACTAAATAGGTGGAAAGTCCACCTACAGGAGATATCTAATTAACACTGCAGGAAGCTCATAAACAGAGGTAGATAAAGACATATCAAGCCCCATTGTCCCCAAAATAAATCTGGTTAAAAGCAATATTAGTGTGAGAGAACATAGACTTTAAGGGAAAAAAATTATTAACACAGATAAAGAGACTAATAATAATAAAATGAAAATACCCAAGACAATAAAGCCATTTTGATCTGGGTACCTAATAACATAGTCATGATTATACATCAACTCTATAAAGCAAAATAATCTAAAAATGTTTAAAGGAAAAATTGACAAGTACACAGTTCTAGTGGGAGATTTGAAACCAACACCATCAGAAACTGATAGATCAAGCAGACAAAAACCTTGGTAAAAATGCAGAAGCTTGACCTGACCAGGTAGCTCAGTTGGTTGGAGCATCATTCTGATACACCAAGATTGGGGATTCGATCCCTGGTCAGGGCACATGCAAGAATCAACCAATGAATGCATAAATAAGTGAAAAAACAAAGAGATCCTCCCCCCTCTAAAAATCAATAAATAATAATAATATATTTCTTTTAAAAAAGAATGCAGAAGCTTTGAAAACCAGCTTTAAACTTGTATCTACTAGATGAAAAGAACTCTGTACATAGGGCATAGGAAATGTATATTCCTTTCAAGTACACATGGATCATTTACAAGAATCGACCACATGCTAGATCACAAAGGAAGTCTTAACCATTTTAAGAAATGTGTATGCAGATACATTCTCTATCCTCATAGGAAGTAACATAAAAATCAGCATTAAAAATTTTTTTAATGTGCTTAGGAACTTTAAAAATGTTCTTTTAAATAACAGGTTGAAAAAGAAATCACAATGGAAATTACGAAATATCTGGAACTGCATGACAAAGAATTTGTCAAAATTGGTAGGAAACTGCTCAAATGGTCCACTTGTTATGTCTGTATAAAAAACAGGGAAGATCGAAAGTTAATGAGTTAAGCTCAGCTCAAGAAGCCAAAAAAGAAATTCCAAAGAAAATTTAAAGAAAGTAAGAAAATAATTTTTAATAGCAAAAATTTAAAGTAATATAAAGAAAATATGCCCTGGCCGGTTTGGCTCAGCGGTTAGAGCGTCGGCCTGCGGTCCTGAGAGACCCGGGTTCGGTTCCCGCTAAGGGCGCGTACCTCGGTTGCAGTTTGTCCCCAGCCCTGGTCGGTTGTGCGGGTGGCAGCCACTCGATGTGTCCCTTTCACATCGATGTTTCTCTCGCTCTCTCTCTCTGTTCCTCTCTCTCCCTCCCACTCTACCTGAGCAAAAAATGGAAAAATGTCCTCGGGTGAGGATAAAAAAAAGAAAAGTAAAAAAAAAAAAAAAAAGAAAGAAAATATTTGACAAACTTTGAATAAAACTGATTTTAAAAAGAAAAAACAACATTATGAATAAGAAAAGGATACAACTTCATATAGTGTAGAGACCTTTTAAAAGCATCGGAGTATCATGAACTGTATGCCAATTAATTTATAAAATTCATTTTCTAGAAAAACATATTACCAAAATTAACTCAAGAAGAATTAGAAAACCTGAATAAATTAGTAACCTTAAAGATTCTAAATCACTAAACAGAAGTCTGCCTTCCCCCAACTCTGCCAAGAACATCAGACCCAGATGGTGTTACAAATAAGGTTTACAAACCCTTCAAGGAGCCATTGATCCCTACCGCATGTAGACTGTTTTGGAGGACGGGAAGGAGACCGCTGCCGGACTCATTGTATGAAATTAATATTGCCTTAGTAGAGGTAGATACTAGAAAGCGAAACTAGAGATCAGTTTTACCTAGGAACATAGACATAAAGATCTTAAAAATCCATGTGAGTAATGCCTTTTCTGGCTGCCCACTCAGACCAACTGAAAACAACTAAAATGTTGGCTGTGTTACGAAAACCAACTTCTTGAATGTAGCCATGAACTGACAAGAAAGCAAGGACTATGCAGACCTGGGGCTGTGTGAAGGCAGAAGTTAATGAATGAAAGGAGGATAACGAGAGAGCCCTGCAGCTGCCTTCCGCCCTGGGGGATTTGTTGAAGTATAGTAATTCAAAGCAGGGTCCTGGAAGTGAAGCCCAGAGCCCGCCTGACTCGGGTGTCTAATGAGAGATTATATACCCTCACGGGTAGGTGCACACACACAGCTGGATCTCCGAAGGGCTGCCTCCTCAAAGGGTTACATCTAGAGCAAACTAGAAATAACCTATCATTATCTAAAAGGAAAACTGCCTCTCTTGGTCTTTGTCAGTAAGCCAGGAGGGGGTGGGTGAACATCCCTTGAAAATTTGTAATTACAGGGTAGTTTTCACCACGAGGTTTGCACTCCAAATTCACACTACCTGAGTACCCTGAAAAAGTTCAAGCCAACAATTTAGTTTAAAGCAGTCTGGGTCTGGTGTTGCCTCCAGACATCTGATAGAAGCAAGTAGGGTTTTTTTTTGTTTGTTTGTTTTTTCCTTGAAAAACTCACCTTTATACCAGACCTTAAAGAATTTCCACAGATAAAGTTCTAAGGAAAATAAGATGTTCACAGTCAAGAATCACTACACACACAAAAGAAGTCACCATATGTGAGAATCAGACTAAACAACAAATTTAGACTCATGAGAACTACTTATACTGGGATGATCAGAAGCAGAATATAAGAATGTTTAATATGTTTCAAGAAGTGAAAGGTCGAAAAATATGAGAAAGAGCAAGTAACTAGGCAGTTGCTAGAAATAAACACCAAATAAAGTTAAAAACTCAATGGATAGGTTTAATATCATATTTGACAAAGCTGAAGAGAGAATAGTGAAATTAAAGAAAGAATTGAATTATCCAGAATTCTACTTAGTGAGACCAAGAAATGAAACACGAAGAGACATGGAAGATAAAATGAAAAGATCTAATGTGCTCAGAGTTATTCAAGGAGAGGAGAAAATAGACAGAGCAACATTTGAAGAAATATTGCTGAGAATTTCAAGAATGATAGA